TGGAGGCCCCGGAGCACGCGTGCACGCGTGCATTCGTTCACTCAGCTGACAAGTGGCGACCCAGCTCTGTGCCAGACCCTGAGGCTACGGCATAAGTAAGGCCTGGTCTCCGCCCTTGATCCAGGGGCAGGCCATGCAGGGCTTGGATGACTTACTGCCCAGGCAAAAGATGCCACATGAGGACGGGGTCCTTTGTCGATGTAGATCAGGTGCACGCGGGCCCGGCACAACTCAAGTTTCCAGTCCAGCTCGAAACCCGTGGCTTCCGGGGATCTGCTAGATGAAGCCCAGACTCCTTGGCTGGGCTCTCAGACCCGCTGCCCCTCCCCTCTCACCAGCCTCCTCCTTCGACCTCTCTCTCTGCCCTCCCTCACCCTGCCCTGCCCCTAGTGGTTTTCCCAGAATGCTTCCAGGCTCTCGTTTGTGGGCTCCTGCCAGGCACTTACTGAGCACCTACTGTGTTCTAGGGGGTGGAGATGGCTGCAAATAAGATACTGCCCCAGGCTCAAGGAGCTGAGTCTGGAAGGTACGGCAAGACAGGGTCGCAAACACAACAGGACTCGTGCTGTAGAGGTTAGGAGTTGGGGCCGGCTGAGTCTGCTGGAGGGTTGGTGAGGGCAGCATTGGGGGGGACGGGCCAGAGCAGGGGATGCATTGGAACCGAGTCCTGAGACACGGTAGGCAGATGAGGACAGGGCATCCCCAGCAGAGGAATCAGCTCATGGAAAGTGACATGGCCTCATCGCTTCTTCTGGGAACTACCAGCTCTTTAGTTGAATGCTCAGGGAGTCCAAGAGGAGCTGTTGGTGAAGTGGATGCCAGCCTCTGGAGGGGTCTTTGAAGGGCATTAGGCATTAGGCAGATCAATAACAACATGGAGGGATAGATGGGTGTTAAGAGAGCCTCACATTTCCCTGTCTTCTGTAAACGCCTCTCTCTGCTAGAAAGCCCCCCAACATCCTTTGACTGCTAAGGAGCACTGAAATGTCCCTCACTCCAGGGAAGTCTTCCCTCCTTCCCTCCTCGCCTCCCTGCGCCATCGTTAAGGGGAAAACAAACTCCCCTCCGTCCATCCTTTGCCCCATAGCGCGTATCATAAACCTCAACCCTCGGCCGTTATTGGTGCACTGGCTTTGGTTGCAGGAGGCCAGCCTCTCCATGAGCCCCGTGAAGACAGGGGCCCCTGCCTTGGTTTTGGCCACTTCCCTGTCCAGCCTGGTGCCTGTGAAGGCCTTGCCCCAGGTCATGCTAACCAGTGCTCTCCCACGGATTTGCTGATTACCTGCCACTCCCAGAGGACTCCCCCGACCTCTCTGGGCCTCGGGTGCCTCTTGAGGAGAAAACCCTTTGCTCCTGCGTCTGCAGGCCTGGAATAGATCACAGTTGGAGCAAGGCCAGAGATGGCAACAATAATAGAGAGTTCAGCCCACTGTGTTCTGAGACCTTTTGCTCATTTTTCCCTCCCAATAATCCCTGGAGGTGTAGGTATTGTTAGTTTAACTCATTTAACAGATGTGGAAACTAAGGTACAGGGAGGTTAATTCGCCCAAGGCTACACGGCTAGTATGAGCAACGCCAGGATTTGAACGTAGATACTTGTGGCTACAGAGCTTTTGTCCTTAACTACTGTGCCGTCCTACAAACTATCTACTCCTGATGCTTACTTAAAACCACAGGCCACGGGGGCTGCGGCGGAGGGGGGCACGGCCTGGGTGGCTCAGTCCGCTAAGCATCAGACTTCAGTGCAGATCATGATCTCACAGTTCATGAGTTTGAGCCCCACCTCGGGCTCTGTGCTGTCAGCACGGAGCCTTCTTCGGATCCTCTGCCCCCGCTCTCTCTCTGCCCCTTCCCCACTCGTGCTCTCTAAATTAAACAAAGCCATAGGCAAAGGACTTCAGCACACTCTGTCTCCACAGCCCTCTCACCACACCGGCTGCATGGCTCAGGTCTCTGCCCCACTACTGACCTGCTCCCGCATCGGCCTGCTGGCCGGCTCCCGTAGGGCTGGAGGGTCCTGGGAGCCCTATAGAAACTTCCTTGGCCTGGGCCTAGCATCTGGCCAGATGTTTGCTGAAGCAGGGGGACTTCTTCCCCTGCCCTTTCCTCTGTGCTGGAGGGAAAGGGGACCCCGGGACCTTAGCGGTGAGTCTGAGGTGTAGAAGGTGGGTGGGAGGGACACTGGTCTATGGAGGTTCTGGGCAGGGCAGGCTGGCGGGCTAGGAGGGTGGTCCTGCCTCACGTCACCCTCATATCTGTGTCAGACGCTGCTTTTTGGTAGTCACGCTGAACCGTGAGTGGGAGCTGCCATACTCCCGGGGCAGGTGTTGCGCAGGACCTCCAGGCATGGCTGGGCCAGGGAACCGAGTTCTAATCCTGGCTCTGCCACTTGCCAGCTGTGTGGCCAAGGGCGGACCACACTGCCTGTCTGGACCTGAGCTTCGGTTTCTCGGGCTGGGCGTCAAGGACACCTGGGAGGCACCGGTGCATTGTGGTTGAGAGAACACTGGCTTTGGAGTCAGACTGCCGGGGGTTAGAACTCTGGCCACGTTTCCTCCTGTCCCGTGACCTTGAGCAAGTAACCCGTTCCAAACTCAGTAATAATCATCCTCCCTACCTCCTGTTGTTGTGAGGATTTTAGACAGGACGATACATCCTCATAAGAACAGTGACTTATCCCTTCCAGTTATAAGCTTCAATAAATCTTTGCCCTCCACGAGTAAATCTTCTCTCTCAATGAGAACTCCTCGTTCCCTCTCTTCGCCCCCAGTCAGATTCCCAATACAGTGCCCCCATTTGCTGCTGTCACCAACATTGTTGTTTAATATAGAGGCAGGGGAGAAAAAAAAACAACAACAACTCAAAGCAGGTTTGTTTGTTTTGTTTTGTTTTTAATCCTCCTGTCTGGTCTAAGAGTTCAAATGCTTTCTCTGAACGGTGGGCAGGTGATATCCCCAAGCAAAGAGACCACTCTGCGGCTGCCAGACCGCAGGCATTTGGCTGGGGTCTTGGAGAAGATGCTCTGAATATTCCAGATAAGGTTCTTTTAAAGAGTCATTGCTGAAAATAATGTTGGATCCTGCCTCGGGGTCCTGCCGGGGACACCCGGCTGCCCGGAGCCCTAGGAGGGGAAGTTTCGTATCAGGTCTCACCTGGCAGGAAGTGAGCCCCCAGTGGAAAATACACGAGCGTACCGGCCTCCGGTCTCCCCTCAGCCAACCTGAGCAAACGGAAGGAAGATCGGATGGCCCAGCCTGGCAGGACAAGGAGATTCCAGCCTCGGGGCCCAAGAACGGATTTCCTGTTGAGAGGAAGCTGAGTTAACCCAAGCTCTGCTTCACCTTCCTTGAGATCTGGCATCGGAAAGAGCCCCGTGGAACCTCTGTCGCCAGCTGAGCCTCAGTCTCTCCTTCTGCAATATTGGTGGAAAATCTCCCCGCACATGCCCACACCTCCCTGTGCTGGAGATCATTTGTAGGAGAGGAAAGTAAGAGACCCATCCCTGTAGTCAAGGGACCTCACAAGTGCACGGGGGTTATGGGATGGCAGCACACAGGCCACCTGTAACATTTGCTGATCACCGCCAGGACGAGACTCGAGATTCGCGACAGCTAGCACCTACTGAGTGCTTACTGTGGGCGGGCGTTCTCCTGTGGCCTCCACGCTGTTTTCACACAAGCCTACCAGGGGAATGCCTTATCGTCCCCATCTTGCCAGTGAGGCTTACAGAGGCTGGAAGATATGCCTGGGCGCTGGCTAATACAAGACAGAGTTGGGGTACGACCTCCCCTCACTGCCTGTACAGGAGCCCAAGGGGAACCTTGGCCCCTGTTTCAGAGCACTTACACTCTAGTGGGCGTACCATACCCCCTGAGTCACCGCAGGCTCTCTCAGTGGGCGAGGCCAGGGCACGTACGTCGAAAGATGAACAACTACACAGGCCTGTATATGCTCAGTGCCAGTGCAGGGTCATTGGGGTTCTAGAGGAGAATGGTCCTTGTGGCCAGGGTACGTCCCTGGCAGGGAGCATCATGACAGATCCAGACCACTTCTGAGTGGGGCCTGCTAATTTCGCACTGGGAGCAGTTAGCCAAGGCACAGAGCTGAGTGAGAGCAGGGGGACACCTTGGGTGCAGCTGGGTCAGAGCACAGGGTTCCAGCAGCCAGATTGGCAGGGGAACCCCATCCTGCCCTGTGGCCCCTCTCCCTCCTCCCTCTGCTCCCCTCCAGCCTCCCCCACGCACGCAATGAGTGAGTAACAGGAAGGAGCCATTGGCCTGCTGGTAATGCCATTAGTAACCCCGAGGGGAAAGGGGAAGTGGAGGGGGGAAGGGAAAGGTGAGCCATCCCAGCTCCCCCAGGCCGGAAGTTGGCAACAGCTGCAGCCAGCTTGGGCTGCGTCTGCCCTTAACCCCGTCCCGTGCCCACTACCTCAATCTGAGATGGGATGGCCAGGGGCCTGGCCGATTAGAAGCACTGGGGGGCATTTTGAGGAGCACCAGTTTCTGGGCACCGCCCCCCTCCCCCCACCCAACCTACTGACCAAGAAGACGAGAAAGACTCTGGGATCTGTACTTGTAAAAAGTTCAACCCCTCCCCTATTATGGCCTGGTCAGGTAGTTCTAGAGGCTGTGACCCACCCTGATCAGGGTGACGCGGGTGCCACGGAGGGGCGGCACCAGCCTTGAAAGAGCCAGGCACCAAAAACGGTGCTGTTTCTTTCAAGGTGAAGTTCTGTACTTTTTAAACAGTTCTGGTTTGAAAAGACCTTTTAGTGGTTCACCATGTGAATTTTCCAGGGGGCTCTGGAACATCTGGGGTGTGCCCTTTCGAGTCACGGGTTTAAATGGGAAAGATAAAAATTCCTAGACCAGCAGGAGGGAAATGTCCGTCGCGGGGCAGTGTCCAGGCACGTGTCCTGTCCAAGGCCTGGGCTGAGCGCTGGGTGGGAGGCCCCGCCCACTCCAGCTGGTCCCCATGCTCCTGCCCTTCCCCGTTAGGACGTGAAGATCTTCCGAGCCCTGATCCTGGGGGAGCTGGAGAAGGGGCAGAGTCAGTTCCAGGCACTCTGCTTTGTCACCCGGCTGCACCACAATGAGATCATCCCCAGCGAGGCCATGGCCAAGCTTCGACAGGTGAGTGCTCACTTCGAGCCTTCCCTGGCCCAGCTCCTGCCCCAGAGCCCCCAGCCCTGCAGCCAGCCCCGAGCCTGAACCGCACCCCGACCTCACTCTCCCACCCAGCCCCTGACCCACCCTCACCCCCGGCGCCCCACTCTCACCCCGTAGTCCGAACCCCTGATATTGCCCCAGGCCAGACCTAACCCCATCACCCTAGATCGCTAATCTGCACTGACCCCCAACTGCCAGATCCCTCCAGCCTCCAGATTTCAGCTCCTCCCCCTTTATGGTGGAGCTTCTGGGCTTGGACTCCGAGGTCAGATATGCCTTCAGACCCAGCGCCACCCCCCTGTATCCCGGGGACGTTGCACACGTTGCCTTCCAAGCCTCTACTTTCTGTGGAGAAATGAGTTATACTGAGAATTAAATGAGAGCATGCATGGAAAGTGTTCAGCACAGTGTTCGGAACCCTTCAGCCCGTTGACCTGCTCCCTGTCCCTTCCTGGCCCCTGGGCCTCTCCCCCAGCCTCATCTGTGTTCCCTAAACGAGGCCCTCCCCTCCCTTCCCGGTCCCAGACTCTGTTCTCTGCCTGTTGCAAGGTGTGGGACCCCGGGGGCATCTGTCCTGGGCCAGCTCGCCTGGCTGCTACCTCCAATAACCAGCCCTGATGACTGTCAGAATTCTCCATCAGCCCCAGACGCCGGCCAGCGGCCAGCTGCAGAGGCTCGGCTGAGCCCTGGGGATTGGTGTCTCCGGAAGCTGGAGGAGAGGCCGGGTGCCCCTAGACTGCCAGCCTGCCCCAAGGTTCTGAAGGCAACCAGCCTTGGCCTGTCTGACTCTCAGCGATTAGGCAAAGCAGGGCAGGGAGCATTCGGAGGCCGGGTGGGAGTGGCTGTTCCTCTCCACACAGAAGAACCCACGGGCAGTGCGGCAGGCTGAGGAGGTGCGGGGCCTAGAGCACCTGCACATGGACATCGCCGTCAACTTCAGCCAGGGGGGCCTGCTGAGCCCCCATCTTCGCAACGTGTGTGCCGAGGCCGTGGATACCATCTACACCCGCCGGGAGGACGTCCGCTTCTGGCTGGAGCAAGGTCAGCTTGGGATCACATCACCCAGGCGAGAGCGCGGTAACGAGATGCGGGAGTTCAGAGGAGGGACCCCGAAACCGGGCTGGGATCGGTCAGGGCAGACTTCCTGGAGGAGGTGGTGCCCGTGTGGCTCTTCGGGGAGAGGAGTCAGCCGGATGAAAGCGACCGTTTCCAGGGAGGGACCCACAGACCTGTGACTTCCCAGGTCGTGCGGAGGGAGATACCCAGGCAGCACCCACCTCATTCCTTCCATTAGTGAGAACACAGGACCTCTGTCGGGGGAGGGGGCACAGGTATCAGGGTCGGCACCCACTCCTCCCTGCCCACCCCTGCTGCCCCCCTCTCTCCTTTCCTTCATGCCTTCCCTGGTGCCAGCATCTCTCTCCCATCTCTGGTGTGGTCCCTGCCTTTAGGCCTGTGTGGCTTTACTGCTGCCCCATTTCCTGATTCCGTTCCCAGGACTGTCCTCAGGTCCTCTGTGTAGAGGGGACAGGGAGATGCCAGGCCCCTGGTCCTCTGCCCAGCCAGCTGAGCAGTAGAGAAGTGCCTGCCCTTCCCAGGGCACCGCTGGATTTAGAAATGGCCAACACGGGGAGCTGGGTGGCTCAGTCGGTTGAGCGGCTGACTTCGGCTCAGGTTACGATTTCACAGTTGGTGAGTTCGAGCCCCACGACAGGCTCTGCGCTGACATCCTGGAGCCTGCTTGGGATTCTCTCTCCCTCTCTGCCCCTCTCCCACTCCCATTCGCTCTCTTGTGCTCTCTCTCTCAAAACAAATAAACATTAAAAAAAAAGAAATAGCCAAGAGCTGTACTCATGCCCTCCACACACACCCCTCCCAGTAAGCTGCACTCCAAACTGAGGTTCAAGCTCAGTACTGTCCCCCCCGAGAGGCTGGTCCGTCCCGTGGCCACTGAGCCAAGCCAGGGGCCAGGTCACTGCTGTCTCCCCCAGCACCCCTGCGTGTACCCTGGCCACCCTGACTTCCCAGCATGTTTGTGCTGGTCCTTCCCTACCTGGCCCTCCTCAGATACCACCTCCTTTAAGAAGCTCTCCTCGATTTTCTATTCCTTCTCCCCGCGTCTCTATTCCGTCACATCCTGGTAGAGTGGTATTTTATTTGTAATTCTTTTTAACACTTACTTGTTTTTGAGAGAGACAGACATGAGCAGGGGAGGGGCAGAGAGAGAGGGAGACCCAGAATCCAAATCTGAGCTATCAGCACAGAGCCCGACGGAGGGCTAGAACCCACGAACCATGAGACTATGACCTGAGCCGAAGTCGGACGCTCAACTGACTGAGCCACCTAGGCGCCCCTATAAGGAAGGCCTTGAAGTCAGAGAGGCCTGGGCTCTATTCCCGCTCCTTACTGTGTGACCGCAGTGAGATCACTAAACCTCTCCGGGCCGGGTTTCTCCTCTATAAAGACAAGAATGGAAATGCTCAGCTCCGCAGGGCGGATGGGAATGCCCCAAGAGGCCGTGCGGGGCGGGCTCCCCCCTCCCTTTCCCCTCCGCTGATGCCCGCCTCTCTCCCGCAGGTGTGGACGGCTCCGTGTTTGAGGCTCTGCCGGAGGCCTCGGAGCAGGTGCACCTGTCCCGCTGCGGGCAGGTGGGGGATGGCGGGAAGCCCTGTGTCTGCCGCTACGGCCTGAGCCTGGCCTGGTACCCCTGCGTGCTCAAGTACTGCCACAGCCGTGACCGGCCGACCCCCTACAAGTGCGGCATCCGCAGCTGCCGAAAAAACTACAGCTTCGACTTCTCTGTGCCCCAGCGGCAGCTGTGTCTCTGGGATGAGGACCCCTAGCGGGCTGGGGTGAGAGGGGGCCATCTCTGAGTTCGCTGCTCTGGGTCCACCGCCCTTCCCCCAGCCACTGGAGGGGGTGGCCGCCCCCCACCGAGGCCTTACCTCCCTTCTCTTCCCTTGATCCCGGAGCCTCTGGCCCCATCACTCAAGACCGTGAAAAGGGGTGTGGCATGGCAGGGGTTAACTCATGAAGGCAGCCCCCACTCCCACCCTGTGCCTCCCTTGGGGACAGAGAGAAGGGGGTTCTCCGGGTGGGTCCCCCTCCCCTTCATCTCCCCCGAAGTGTTCTCTTTCAAGCAAACAAAATGTGATGGCCCGTGATTCCGTTGAACTCTTTGAAGGTTTAGACCCGAAAAGGTGTCTGTGCCTGTTACACCGACCTCCCCCCCGCCCCCCCCCCACACACACACGCACCCCCACTCCCCCATCTGGAAGGAGCTGGCTGGCCCCTCTGCACCATCAAATGCCCAACGAGGAGGGGACCACGTCCCAGTGAGGGGGCCGTCGGGGACCATTGCCATAGCCCCTCCACCAGATCACAGTGCATTCTGCTCATTGCTGTCCTCCCGACACTGGGGCAGGTGAGGGCCTCCCAGCCCGGACACAAACCACACGTGCCTTTCCCCAGACCCAGACTCTGTTGGGAGAGCAGGCCCCAGCTTCCCTCCTCGAGACGGAAATATTTTTTGTAAAGTTCTGGGGCGGGGGGGAGCACGAAGTATGAGGAAAACTTGAATTCCAGATTTTTAATGCAAAGTATTTATCATTTGTACCAGAAATAAAAGTTTAGATTTTTATTTGACAGCTCGTCGCCGAGTTCTGAAAGAACTCTTGGCCAATGCTGCCACCTGGTGGCAGGAGGGGCGTTCGTTCTGCCGGGGACCAGTCTCGACACACCTGCTAAGGCACCTGCTGTGTGCTCACTCGCTGTGCAGCAGGGAGTGGATGGACCCGGGACGTATTAGGGAAGGATAAGACAAAACTTCTGCACTTAAGAAGAAGAGACATAGATGAGCAAGTCAGACAGTAACAGTATAAATAGATTAAGGCAAGCAATAAGGCAAAAACTCCGGAACCAAACTGCCAGGGTCCAAATCCTGGCGTGGCTTATTTCCTGTGCAATCTTGGGTCAAGTCACTTTACCTTCCTGTGCCTCAGCGCTCTCCGCTATAAAATGGGCTTAATTGTGAGACTTACATGGGTGTTCATACATCTGAAGTGCCCGGCACAATAGTGTTCATTTTATTCGCTATTATTAATATCGTTACTGTTAGTGAAAAGAGCAGGTATTTCCTCACCTGTACACCTGAGACGGCTAAGCCAGCCATCCTGAAGGTCTCTGTGCTTCCAAAGTACCTTCCAGTTTGAAGAGACTGTAATAGGAAGTGCCGAGCCGGGTGTTGGAGAACTTTCGGGAAGGAGGGATGGCGCAGGTTGAATTTATCGAGGGAGGTCTCCTGGACCAGATGGGATATGGCTTGAAGCTGGAGGATGGTAGGCATTTGGCAAGGTGGAGGAGACTGAGCACAGGGCAGAGACAGGAGTGCTCCAGGGGTCCCACAGGAGACCCGAATCCTTAGGAAGGAGGAGACGGGAGAGTCAAGTCCTTCCTTGTCCACCTTGGAAAGGGAAACAGGCTTTCAGGATGTCCCCGTCCCCTTGAAGCCTCCCCAGAACAGGCTGCTGCCGCCCCTTGAAGCTGTATCGACCAGAGGGTTGTGGTGGGAGCCAGGCTTGCTCGGCCAGGGTCAAGTCAGAGAGAGGTGGTGAGACCTCCTTTTGAGGTAGGCATGCCTCTTTCTGAACCTGTTTTCGAGGACCAGCCTTAGCTGTCCTTTGGCGGGGGCCCCCCGCCCCCGCCGGTTAGGGAGGGAGGTGTTCCTCCCCAGGCCCTTTCCTCCTTCCCCTGCTGCCCAATCCCAGCCCTCAGTCCTGAGCCCCAATCCCAGCTCTGGGTGGGGGAGGGGATTACTTGGAGAAGGCACCTCCCACTTCCCCACCCTGTCTGTGTGCCTTTTTTTACTGGAGGTGGGGTCCCAGGTCATAGATGCCTTTTCACTCGCAAGTGGCCAAAAGAATGCTGTTTTTTTTTTAAAGAGTGCTTTTTTTTTAATGTAAGTTTGTTTTTAATGTTTATTTTTTCTGAGAGACAGAGCGCGAGCGAGCAGTGTAGGGGCAGAGGGAGGGAGACACAGAAGAGCAAGCAGGGGAGGGGCAGAGGGAGGGAGACACAGAATCCGAAGCAGGCTCCAGGCTCTGAACTGTCAGCCCAGAGCCCGACGCGGGGCTCGAACTCACGAACCGCGAGACCATGACCTGAGCCGAAGTCGGGCGCTTAACCGACTGCGCCACCCAGGCGCCCCTAAAGGGTGCTTTTCTGATCTTCCTTGGGAGTGACTCACACCTCCAAGCCTGCCTGTCCCAAGCAGTGAGGGGACGTCTGCACACTCATTACACTCCATTCTGCCTGGGACCCCTTCTTTGGTCTTGGGGCATGGGGATGAAAATTAAGATTCCCTGAGACTTTGGGCTGACCCCACACTCAGGCCAAGTCCATGCTACCCCTCATTCCAAACGATCCTCCCAGCCTCCCAGCCCAGCTCTGTCAGGTGCATCCACTGCCTGCCACCTGTGTGGCATCAGAATCCCTTGGGAGCTCAGCCCATTACCAGGGTCAGCTATTTGAGAAACACGCAGATCAGGCCTTATTTTCCTCAGGAGGCCTTTGTGCACGTGTAAAAACGTAACACACCTACAACGAGCGCTCCTTTCTCTGGCCCGTTGGAGTTTACAAAGTGACTTCATATAAATGAGCTCGCTGGCTCCTTGTAGCAGTTCTGTGACACTTTGTGGACGCGGCTCACCAATACAATTATGTGACTTGACCAGGTCAGACAGCCAGTTGGGTCTCCTTGCCCCTCAGCCTCCTTGCCCCAGGCATACCTACTAACCTAAATGGGTTACCAGATTGGCCAGCTGGAACCTCGGGGCAGCGGGGAGGGGAGAGGCACGAGGTACTCAGCACCCACTGGGGCCAGTCCTGCAACAGCAATCACCAAATACATGGGGGTGGGGGGGGAGGGGGCGGTGCCCACAGGTCCCCTACAACTAGAGCTGGCGGGAACAGGCCTCCTGATGGGTCCCTTTTGTCAAGGTAAGCAAGGCCCTGGGTGGGAGGCCAGGAGCCTAGGCCTTGGTGGAGCCTCTTCAAGCCAGAGAAGATGAACACTGTGTCAGGTTCCCCCTGGCAGGGTGACCCCAGCCTGGACTGGGTCTTGCTGGGTTTTCTGTGGGTTTACTTCGGGTTCCTCTCCCTGCAGTCTTAGTCAAGGGAAGTCTTGTCTTCGCCGAACGTTAGATGTGGTGGGTGGAGCCACGGAGAAGTCTGGCAAAAAGCGGGGGCCAGGACCGCTCCCGAGAAGCAAAGGTTGAGGGTGACCACGCCTACCTGGGAGGAAGGTGGGTACCGGCCTAGTCCCAGCTCTGTGCATTCTGGGGTGGGTCACCCCCATTGCAAGCCCCCAGCTCCTCATCTGCTAGGAGGTGGCCCTCTCTAAGGGCTTCCTGACCCGGCAATCAGTGGGTAACTGCTGGCTGGCGTTCTACCTCGGATCGTTAGGTGTTGGGCGACTGGTGGACAATTGAATTGTCCACGACTTGCTCTTACAAGCCATGCTGTAGAGAAATGGTAAAAATGGAGCACCACAAAGCCCAGTGTTTGGTCGAGGCTGCCAGATGGCCCTCCAGATGCAGTTGTCCAAATTTGCACCCTCACCAGCAGGTGTATGAAAGGCCCTTTTCCCCACATTCCTGCTGCATCGGGCGGGGTTCTTCAGAGAAAGAGAGCCAATGGGATACAGAGAGAGAGAGAGAGCGATTTCTAGTAAGGAATGAACTCATGTGATTGTGGGGTCTGGCAAAATCCAAAATGCTGGCGGCAGGCAGCTTAGGCAAAAGATGATGTTGCAGTCTCGAGTCTGAAATCTGTACGGCGAGTCACCTGTCCGGAAATTCAGACGGGATTTCTGTTACAGTCTTGAAGCAGAATTGCTTCTTCTGGAAACCTCAGTGTTTGCTCTTAAGACCTGCACCTGATTGGATGAGGCCCACCCACATTATCAAGGGTAATCTCTAAAGCCAGTTGATTGTAGAGGTTAATCACATCTACAATAATACCATCACAGCAGCATCTGGCCTAGTGTTAGACCAGGCACCGTAACACCTAGCCGACCTGACACATAAAATTAACCATGGCACCTGCTGTCGCTGGATATCATGATATGGTGTTTGCCATTTTGACCTTGAGAAACAGTAAAGCATTCTAGGGATTACTCTCAGACATCAACTGTTGACTGTAGCCAGGTAACGGCTGGTTGTTCCTGTTTCCCTCCCCTGCCCCCACCCCATTTCCTCTCTACCCTCCTCTGCCCTGCTCTGTGCCCCAGGATACCAACCTGTGGATCGGCCTCGCCTGGGTTCCTTCACCTCTGGCTCGGCCAGTGAGGAGCACCAGAGATCAGAGGGCAGGATGAGAGAGAATTCCAGGCATCTATCCCCACCCCTTGCTGCTTCCAGACCACACCTCTGCATTGGCTTCCTTTCTCCAAGCACCAGACCTCCTCGGGCCCCTAGACCACTGTTTCCTCTTCCTGCCACTTCCGCCCTAGCCTCTCGGTGTCACTGGCCCTCTGGTTCCCTTAATCCCGCTCCCACCTCTGTAAATAAGCCATACTTTCATTAAAGGCACTCCGTGTTGAGTCGATTCTGTTTTCCTGCCCCTGCTGGGGCCCCAGAGGAATGGAGAGTGGGAAGGAAGAAGGCAAAAGTGGGCTGGAAAACACAGGCTCGCACGACAGGGACTCCGTGCGCACCTTCTCCTTGGAGAAGATCCCGACCTCACAAGGGGGGTGCTTCAAGTCCAGCGAGGGAAAGAAGGCGGGTCACAAGCTACCTCGGTGTGGTATCCACATCCCCTGTGGTGGCCATCTCACCGCCTGGGCCCGGGTTCCGGCTGTGTGTCCTGCTGAGGCAGCGTCCTGACTCTTCAGCAGTGACAGGCAGGATGAAGTGACACTACGCTCATGGCACCCCCCTCCCCTACACCAGGGGAAGCAGAAACAGATGCCACGTGTCTACCCAGCCCACACGCCCACATGCCTCTCCGGATCCCCTCCTGCCTTGATGGTGGGGGAGGTGCCCCCGCCCGACCAACCCCAGGGCTCTGAATCCCAGCCCTTCCCCCTTAGGAGACACTATCCCCTCGCTCTCTTCAGCTTCTCTCTCTTGCCTTCTTCCCATCAGCCCTGAGAGTATTTTTTTTTTTATTTTTTTAATGTTTATTTTTGAGAGTGAGCAAGCATGAGCAGGAGAGGGACAGGGGTCGAGGGGGGGGGGTGCGGTGGGGACAGAGGATCCAAAGCGGGCTCTGTGCTGACAGCAGTGAACCCGATGTGGGACTCAAACCCATGACCTGCAAGATCATAACCGGAGCAGATGTCCAACGGTCAACCAACTGAGCCACCCAGGTGCCCCCCTCACTTGTGTTTCTCTACCTCTTATGCTCTGTGATCTGGCCAGCCTGTTCTGCTTGAGGGACTCCAATGTCCCATGCACCCTCCTGGGGACTCCAACGTCCCATGCACCCTCCTGGGGACTGCAACGTCCCATGCACCCTCCTGGGGAATGCTACTGTTTCCTCTCCGTGTACTGCTTCCTCCTGTTCCCACTTCCTTCCACTTTGCTGGAGGTCCCAGCTCCGATCTCTGTTCCTCCAAGAAGCTTTTCCTGGTGCCCAGCCCCCAGAG